TTTTTGCAAGGAAGTGAAAGTGAAAGTCGCTCCATGGAATTCTCCAGGCCAGAATACTGGAGTGCTATTCCCTTTTCCAGGGGATCTTCCAAACCCAGGAATCGAACCCAGGTCTCCTGCACTGCAAGCCCCCAAGAGTAACTGGAGTGGGTTGCCAATCCCTTCTCCAGCGGATCTTCCCAACAAGTGATTTGCAATTTAAAAATTATTTAAAAATAAAAAGTTAAAAAAAACAAATAAACTCCCTGGATCCCCCCAGCTAGGGTCTTCCTTCTTTATTTCCCTTCAGAAGCAAATTCCCTGAAAAACATGTTCATGCATAGTTTCCACTCCTTCACCTCCCATTTGCTTTACCAAAACCGCTTAGGAAATTGTCACCAGTGGTACTCAAGCCGGCAAATTCATGAAGTCTTTCCCAGATTTCATCCTGTGTGACCGCTCAGGGCATGGAACCCACCTGACCACTCCTTCCTTCTTGAAACACCTTGGCTTCCAAGACAGAAAGCTTCTTGGGTTTTCCTTCTGCACTTCTGACTCATGCTTTTGAATGTCAGTGTTGACATTCCTAGACTTCAGTCCTGGCTCCTCTTCTCTTCCCTTCACATTCTCTCCCCACTTAATCTTATTGACGCCTCTGGCCTCAAATATCATCTACAGGCCAGTGATTCCTAAATTTCTACCTCTACCCTAGACCTCTCTGCAGAGATCCAGACTCATACAGCCACATAACAACGTACTACAGGCACTGAATGTCTCAAAATTAAACTTTTTAAAATTAGAATTCTTTATTTCTAGAATTGTGGTAAAATACACCTAACATAAAATTTAACATAAAATTCTAACTACTTTAGGTGTACAGTTCAGTTGCATTAAATACATTCACATTGTTGTGTAACCATCCCCACCACCCATCTCCAGAACTCTTTTCATCTTACAAAACTGAAGCTCTGTACCCATTCAACAATAACTTTCTATTCCTCTCACCCCAGCCTGGTAACCACGAGTCTACTTTCTGTCTCAGTATCTCCGGTAAATGGAATCATACAGTATTTGTTCTTTTGTGACTGGCTTATTTAACATAGCACAGTGTCTTCAGGGTTCATACATGTTGTAGCATCTGTCAGTGTTTCCCTTTTCTTTACTAACTAATTTTTATTTTTAGGATGGTTGCTTTCAAAATTAAACTCAATATTCTCTCTGATATGTGCCCTTCCTTTAATTCACCCCCTCATTACACAGTACCACCTTCCTCTCCCATCCATGCAGCTGTACCTGCTAGAAACTTTGATGTCATTTCAGACAACCTTTCTATATTTGTCCATGAAATCAGTCTGTCATGAAGTCTAAGATATGTATCTGTACACCTTACCTTTCTTTTCCCTACCTACAGTACCTGCTATCATCTTTTACCCCAACTACTGTGATAACTTCCTACCTGGTCTCCCTGTATCCCTCCTGCTCCCTCCAGCCCACTCTCCAAACACTAACTGCACAGCACCTTGTAGAAATACTTTCCCAGCTCTATCATTCCCCTTTTTGACTTCACATAGGAAAAACTCCCAAATTATTAATAGGCTTGCCACAAACTTTACCAGCAAGTCTCCTTCTGCCTCCCTCACCTCATCTCTTGCTTACTGTGTTAAGTAAGCCCCATTTGCTTTCTCTCAAGCTCTAGAATACAACTGGCTCTTTGTCAGGCTCAGGACTTTGCCTTTGCATCTTCCTAGAATTCTCTCCCCGCAGCAATTCCCTTGTGAAATTGTCAGGGTAGGCTGGCTTCTGCTTTGGTAGCAAACAACCCCAACATCTCAATAGGTGATGCCTAAAAAGATTTCCTTATTGCTCACAGCTCAGTCTGATGGAGGTCAGGATGGCTCTTCTTCAAGTGGAGACTCAGGGGCTCTGCTGCTGTTGCTGCTAAGTCGCTTCAGTCGTGTCCGACTCTATGTAACCCCATAGACAGCAGCCCACCAGGCTCCCCCGTCCCTGGGATTCTCCAGGCAAGAACCCTGGAGTGGGTTGCCATTTCCTTCTTCAATGCATGAAAGTTAAAAGTGAAAGTGAAATCGCTCAGTTGTGTCCAACTCCTAGCAATCCCATGGACTGCAGCCCACCAGGCTCCTCCGTCCATGGGATTTTCCAGGCAATAGTACTGGAGTGGGTTGCCACTGCCTTCTCCCCAGGGGTTCAGGGCTGGTCTAAATTGTGGAATGCCCACAATTTAGTAGCTGAGGAGAATGGATATCTATATATGGGGCCAACACTGGAATGGCACACATCATATCTGCCCACATCCCATTGGCCAGATCAGAGTCACATGATCCTAGCCTAACTGCAAAGGGAAAAAATATACTTTCCCTGTGTGTCCAGGAAGAGGAAACGAGGTTGGTGAGCATCAGGCCAGTTTCTGCCACATCCTGGTTAAAATCTACTCATCTTTAAAGAATCAGTTTAAAAGATACTTCCTTATACAGGCCTCCAAGCTCCTCTAACCTAGGTCCCCCCGATATACTCTATTGTAGCACTCTATAATTATCCTTTATAGCATGAAAGAATTGGAAAGTTTACATTCCTTTATGTGATTATTTAATACTCCTTTCCATTTTGAGACTATATGCTCTATAAGAGCAAAGACTGCATCTGTTTGGCTCCCCCTGTGTCTCTAGCATTCATCACAGAACTTGGTTCATAACTGGCATGAAAGTTGCTGAGTGAACAAATGAACAATTGCACACAGTCATTTCCTGGCTCCAAACAGCACACTACTCGTGGAAGCGAAAGACAAGTAAGCAGACAGTCCTGGTTTAGTGGGAGGAATGCTCCGTGTAGGTAAGCCCAGGGACTGAGGCAGCCACCCAAATGAGCTGTGGAGGCGTCTTGGTTTCTTTTCGATGGCACTCTAAGCCAGGAGTCTGCAAATTATGCCCTGCAGGTCAAATCTGATTTCCTATCTGTTTTTTTTTAATGGTCCAAGAACCAAGAATTGTTTTTATATTTTTAGATGTTTGAAAAGAATTAAAAGAATATATAATCATGTGAAAATTATGTTAGACTTAATTACAGTGTCCATAAAGTTTTATTGGAACACAAGTCACATCCATTAGTGTGCTTGTTTATGGCTGCTTTCACACTGAAATCGCAGAGGTGAATAGCTGTGAAAGAGACTGTGGCCTGCAAAGGCTAAAAATAACTATTTACTATTTGGCTCTTTATAAAAAAAGTTTGCTGACCTCCTAATCTAATTCCTTCTTGGTTTAAAAGTTCACTTCTATGTGAATCATATCTAAGTGTCCATCTTTAATTCCCTCCTTTGCCCATTCTCACACCCACGGCCAGAAATCCCTGTAAGTTCTAACCTTGTGACAGTATTCTTGCTGTGCCACATTTCTCCTCCTCCCTCAGGCCATCTTCTCACTATGACTGAAGCTAACATCCAAGAGAAGAGCTTTGACATCAGAAATACTCTTTGAGGCTCCTCATCCTGTCCTAAACAAAATCTGCTCTGCCTAGTATTGTAGTCAAGATTCTCCATTATCTTGCCAAGGCTTATCTTTTCAGCTATGTTCCTAACATCATATCTTCACTCAGCATTAGCGATCATAACCCACCCTTGTCTTCTCTACTTCCAAGCCTAGCTCACAGTTACTATCTCTGTATGAAATACCTGCAGTTTGTACTTCTATTTCATCCATCCTTTACATCGGTTACCTAAAGTGCCTCAGTGACCTAAAAGCCCCTCAGCTCCTCTCTGAGAATAATTATTGGCATCTGTGCAATTCTCTAGGTTTGTACAACCGTTTTATTTAAAAGCCTGCTTCAAAGTTTCCTGTGTATACACACAGATTGTTTCTCATGTTCTACTGAAAGCTGCTAAGGGGCAGGACTTGTATTCTATTTCATTAATTTCTGTAGTCTTTTGGTGCCTGAAAAGGAAAACTGTTAGTCACTCAGTCGTAATGGGGACTCTGTGCAACGCCACGGCTGTGGCCCGCCAGGCTCCTCTGTCCATGACACTCCCCAGGCAAGAATACTGGAGTGGGTTGCCATGCCCTTCTCCAGGGGGATCTTCCTGATCCAGGGAATGAACCCAGGTCTCCTGCATTGCAGACAGATTCTTTATCATCTGAACAAGCACAAAATGAAAATGTTTATCCACTGCAAAAGTCCTCAAGGAAAACTGGGATTGTGAATTTCTGAAATGGCTAAGAACTACCTGTACTCAAGCAGGAACTCCACTTAACTTTGTTCAGAACTCACTAGGACGAGCAACATCTTTTAGAGACACACCGTCGTCCAGCGGGCATACACCTGGGAATGCTCGGGGCCTTCAGGTTCGAAAACCTGCAAACACGTGCGTGAGAGGCGCTTTCTTCCAGGCTCCTCCTCTGTCCGTGGTGATTGGCGGGCCAAACCGTCCAATCAGCCTTCCCCGCCTCTTTCAGCAACAGCCAATCACAGGCCCCGGGAGCCTCCGGACTACTAGACTGTTTACTAACAGATCGGAGCTGGGGAATAAGGGGCGTGGCCGTCCTGGGAATGTCGGGGACGGGAAGGCTCTGACTGCGCGTGCGCAGCAGCGGGGGTGGGCGGAGCAAAAGCCGGCCTCACCAATCGGATCGCTCGTGCTCCTCCCTCGCCTGCCGCCCGCCGAGCAACAACAGTTCGAGCAGTGGGGCGGGGCGGTTCGCCTCGCGTCAGAGAGCGCTGCCCAACGGGGCCTGGCGCTGGCGGCGGCGCGCGCCCCGCGCCCAATCGGCGACGGCGACTACCAGGGCCGCCGACCCTGCTGGCTGTGGGCGGGGCGGCTCCGGGGGAGGCGGGGAGCGGGGCGGAGTGGCTGCGCGGGACTAGCGGCGCCCGCCGAGGGAGGCGGCGGGAGCGGGAAAGCGGCTCGCCCCGGCGTCCGGGCTGCCGAGTGGCCGCGCCCCGGCTCCAGTGGCCGCGGCGGAGCTGAGGGGCCGGGCGCCCTGGAGCAGCCCGCGGGCTCGGGCGAGGGGAAGATGGAGGAGAAGCGTGGCAGCGGCGGGGACGCCGGCGGAGAGCAGCTCCGCGTCGTCAAGCACGAGCTGCGGACGGGTGAGCGGCCCGCCCCCTGCCGGCCGGGCTCGGCGCGGGGCCCGGCGCGGCGGTGCGCGGGGCGGGGGTCCCGGGCGCGGGGGCCCCGGCGGGCGGGGGTCTCGGGGGTCCCCGGCGGCTGGCCCGAAGTTTCCCGTGAGTGAGCGGCTGCCGGGCTGGGGCCGCCGCACTGACTGACCCAGGTGTGTTCGCGCCCCGTCCCGCCCGGGGACGCACCTGCCCCTCACCCTTCTGTGAGGCGCGCGTTCCTCGCTGCGGGGGGAGCGACGCTTAGCTCGGAGCGCGGCTCTCCAGCTGTCGCATCCCTGGAGGGGCCCCGAGGTGCCTGCGTCCTGGGCACGGGCAAGGGGCGGCTGTCCCCGGGCCGTGTGGAGTCCAGCCGCGGAGCTGCAGGCGCTGAGGGCTTTACGTGCCATCACGGTGGACTGCTGTACTTGGCCTTGAGTCTCTTTCAGAGGTCTTTTGAGGAGGCTCAGTAAATTCAAAGCTCCGGGTAAAAGCGACTAACTAGCCCCCTTACGGCGCTCACGCGCGGATTTGGGGGGTCTTTCCAGTCGACTCAGGCTTTATACTTGTTACTTTATTCCTTGTGGGTCTGGGTTGTTCTTTATGGGAAACGCTTCTTCCGACTCACCAGTATAGATTGGGTTTATATTTGTGGAGTCCTGTCCCTGTTAGAGATGCTTTTTCATTTCTGAACAGATAATTCATTTTAACAAGTTGTTCATTATTTACTATTAAGTATTTCTGTGAATGTTTGTTAAGAATTTCGATGCAGCTTCTCTGGCATCTTGGGATATTCTTTTATTGTGTAGGGACAAAGCTTATGTAGCAGGTTTCAGTTGTATGCCTAGCACACCTTGTTATAATTTTGAACAGATTGCAAAGTTATATCTGTCACTTGTTCTTTTAGTTTTTGTTATTGCTGGTTAGCATTCCATTGAGCGCCAGTGTGGTGACTTAAGAGGGATGTCAAATACATGCTTACTTATTTCTACATTAACATTGGCTTAAAACAATTTTTTTGGGGGGTCATTATGAGTTTGTTATGTATCTTGAACCAGTTACTCCATAATTTTTTGGAGTTCCTAATGTAACTTGTGTGGGCTTGTTTGGTTTGGTTTTCTTCTCTCAGCTTAATAGACAACTGATGTTTTCAAAGGGCTATTCAATAATTTATTCCATAAACATTTCTTTTGTATTAGTGTCTGACTTGTGCCAGGCTCGGTGTCAGGTGCTTCCTGGTGTGGAGATTTTGAATTTCTCTTTTTTTTCTTACATAACGATTCACTGATTCATATTGTAGACTCGTGCTGTGCAGCAAAAGCTGCTTGAAGTCGTGTGTCCTCAGCCACTGACTGTGGTGCAATAAGCAGCTTTTTGCTGAATGACCAAGGAGCAACCTACTTGATTAGTAGTCAACCAACTGCTCAGTTTCTGGGTTTTGCAAACAATGCTAGTTTTGTAGAAAACAATGAGTACTGCTTTATTTTCCCTTCTCTACTAACTGTGTGAATCATCAGCTTCAAGTTTGCATTTTTAGAATTTTTTTCTGATGGGTGGTGAGATTATACTGAATTCATTAGTACTGTTAACTGTCAAAGGAATGGAACAGTCACTTTGGTTTATTGCTGAACATTGAAACAACTGACCGGATACAGTGGTCAAAAACCCTTAAAATACAACTTGAGAGATTCAGTCATCTTCAGCCAGCTGGGCCCCTGTCAGCATATGCTGCTGTGAAAGGTGCCACAGTAACTTGATCTGAGGTGGTCCCTTGCTTCTCAAGATGTGGACAAGCATATAGTCTTAACAGGTCAGCAGTTGGTGATTCCTCAGTTGTGCTCAACACTGTATTGTCTGCTGTAGGATGAACAGAAAGGCAATACAAGTTACATGGAAAGATATGGAAAGTGTTCCAGTGGTGTAGACCGAGTAGCATAGCATACCTGGATGTGCAGTTGGAAGGGAAAAACTCTGCACTCAGTCGTGCTGACTCTTTGGGACCCCATGGACTGTAGCCCACCAGGCTCCTCTGTCCATGGGTTTTTCCAGGCAAGAATACTGAGAGTAGGTTGCCATTTCCTCCTCCAGGGGATCTTCCTGACCCAGGGATCAAACTCAAGTCTCCAGGGACTCCTGCATTGCAGGCAGATTCTAGACTTTGTTCTAAATCTGAGCTCTGCCAGTTGCTGGCTGTGTAGACTTGGGCAGGTCACTTCACTCTTTTAGACTCACTTTTCTCACCTACAGAGTATGAAAATTGAAGGAGACTCTATTGGAAAAGTGCTAAGCAGTTTGCTTGGCGCATAATAGGCTCTCAGGAGCGGTTGGTTCCTGTTGGTCCAAAGGTCAGCCAATAGCAGCGTCTTCTATTAGAGCCTGCAGGTCACCCCCCGCCCCCCCCCCATCAGAGTCCTGTTTGGAGCTTGCCCCGTGCTGCTCGGCTGGCATCTCTTTCTGTGAGTCTTGCCTTCTGAAGCCGCGTGTAAACCCCCGCGATCCCCACTGCTTAGCAGTCTGCGTGTGTCTCTTCAGCAGCATTTAACACACAGCTGGAACAGTTTATTTGTCTGTGCTGGACTGTAAGGTGCTACCATGTCCTTTATCCATTTTCAGCCCCTGGCATACAGTAAGTACTCAGATGTTGGGAGAATTCACTGAATGCATGAAAATCCAGGACAAAATCTAAGTTTATTGTAGTCCCAGTGTCTTGTAGATGTTAGGTGGTTGATTAATGGATGCCAGTGACCATGAAAGCTAAAAATGAAGAGAAAGGGATTGATTAGATGAGTTAAATGAACATTTCTTGACACTGTTTTCTAGGCTAAATGGTACTAATGACACAAAACAATGAGAAAATATCTTGCCCTCTGCTGGTCGGGGAAGAGGAAGTGTAAACTGGTAATTAGGATATATTGTCATACTATAATAAGAGAAGGTTGTACATAGTATAAAGATAGCAAAGAAGAAGTTCAGGGCTTTTAGGTTTAAATAATCAAATCTAACTGCCAAACCATAGCAGCAAAATAGAGGGATTATTATTGGAAGGATATTGGGTTATCTCATTTATTCCATATTTCATTACGTCTATGTACGAGTTTCACATTATATACGGGGGTTACAGGACACGTGTGGTCTTCCCCCTGAAATGACAGGGTTGCATCAGACATCACTGGAAGCAGGGACTGATGTTGTCTCTGTTGTCTCCATCTAGAATCTTTGCTTGTCTCTATGTAATGGCCTCCTTCAGTGCCGTTCACCTATTTCCACATGGGAAGGAACACAGCTGTTGACAGACCCTAAGTTTTAGGTCTTACAGCTCTAGGTACTGGAGAGACACTGCCTTTTTTTTTATCAGCTTCAGGTATACAAATCTTAGGGGAGGACTTTATTAGCCTGGCTTTGGTCAGCTGCCTACTTTTGGATTTTTCAGCTAAGGTCAGGGAATGGCGTCCTGTTCTGCTAGCTTGACAGCTACTCCGGTGAACATACGGATGGGGGTGAGACTAAACTCTTACGAGGAAGGATGGGGGTACACATTTCCTTAGATGTCCGTCACTAGGAGAGAGAGCCTAACGCTGAGGAGAGAGTCGGGAAAGGGGCATTAGTTATCTGTTGCTGTGCAGCAAGTGATCCCAAACTTAAGTGACTTAGAGCACCGTGACTCCTGTGGCTCAGGTATTCGGGAGTGCTTAGCCTGGTGGTGTTGGCTCAGGGTCTCTCTTGATGTTGTAGTCAAGGTTTGGGCCAGGACCACGTCCACCTGAAGACTTGTCTGGGGCAGGAGATGCCCTTTCAAGCCAGCTCACTTGCATGTTGTGGGCAGGACGCTTCAGGCCCGTGCTCTGTGGCCCTCTCGGTGTGGCTGCCTGAGTGTCCTGCTGACGTGCCAGCCGGCTCCCATGGGGCAGGTGATCGAAGGGAAAGAGCAGCGTGGAAGCTGCAGTGTCTTTTTTGTTGTCGTTGTTGTTAAACAGCTTTTTTTGAGATACAATTTACATACTATGAAGTCCACTTGTTTTTAGTGTACAACTCAGTCTTTTAAAGTATATTTATAGTTAAACAACCATCACCACAATCTAATTTTAGAACTTTCCATCACTTTAAAAAGAAACTTCTTACCCATTTTTATTGGTCATTCCACATTCTCACCACTCATTCCTCAGTCCTGGGCATCTGCTAATCCTGCTTTTTTGTCTGTGTATTTGCCTAGGGACATTTTATATTATGGAACTTCGTAAAGTGTGATCTTTTAAAAAAAAATGTGTGTTTGCTTATATTTGGCTGTGTTGGATCTTCGTGGCTGCTCTGTCTTTCCTCTGGTTGCGGAGAGCACGGGCTTCTCGTTGCAGTGCCTTCTCTCGTTGCAGAGCTCTGCTTCGGGGGTGGGCAGGCGCGCGGGCGCAGTAGTTGCGGCTCCCAGGCTCTAGAGCACAGGCTCAGGAGTTGTGGCGAATGGGCTTGTTGCCTCGTGGCACATGGGGTCTTCCTGGACCAGGGAATGAGCCATGTCCTCTGCGTTGGCAGGCGGAGTCTTAACCACTGGACCATCAGGGAAGCCCAGTGTGTGATCTTTCATGACTGGTTTCTTTCACTCAACGTGATGTTTTCAAGATTCATCAGTTTCTAGCATGTGTCAGCACTTCATTTTTTAAATTGACGGATAATATTCCGTTGTATGGATATACCGTGTTTTGTTTGTCCATCCACCACTTGATTGACATTTGTGTTGTTCCGACCTGTTGGCCATTGTGAATAATGCTGCTATATACATTTATGTACAAATTTTTGTGTGGGACCTGTGTTTTCATTTTTCTTGGGTAGATATTAGGAGTAAACTTACTGGGTCACGTGGTAAGTCTGTGTTAAACCTTTTAAGTTTTTCAGTGTGGCTGCATTGCTCTCTTGCCCCACTAGCAATGCACAAAGGTTCCAGTTTCTCCACATCCTTGCCATCGCTTGTTTGTTTGCGTACAGCCATTCTCGTGAGTATGAAG